TTAGATGCATTTCATTACATCTTTAATGGAAGTTTTGGGACCATTTCCTATGATTAAGATGTCACATTCCCCTTTCCAAGAGTACAGTTTTTTTTTAAAGCTGTAAATAAATAAATTAAAATAGTACTCTTATTCCTGAGAAACATAACTTGAAGACAAATTCATTGAAACATTGCCAAACTAGTTTAATTATTTAGTGTATTATTAGAGGACTCGTTTTCTACATATTACTGGATTTTGTGTTCCTCCGTGCCTTTAGGGGGCGCTGTTGTTAAAGCGGCACTATCGAGAGCTGCTAGCTAACAACAACAAACCACGGACTGCTATCGTTTAATTGAACTCAACAAAAGGGTGAGTCCTTTGATCAATCAACATAAGAGCCGTAATATAAACAATAATCTAAATTAGTACAATAAAGGCAGTGGTATTATATTTTAAAGTTAATTTGCGATAATAGCCCGACCTTTTGGTTTAGCTCAGGTTAGCTCCACAGTGATTACAGCTAACCTGCCAGTTTAGCTAGCTCGATGGAGTTAGCAGCCATGTTACCGTTAGCTTATGAAGATTACCGGCAAGATTTCATAAATTTATATCAATTTTACACGCTGATCTGACCTAATGTGCTGTCTCATTTATCAGTACAATGCTCTGCGTGAATTTAAATATTGTCAGTTTTAGGACACACGTGTCGATTATGTATTGTTAGCAGGTTGATTACCTGTCTTCGCTTGAATGTCAAATCTTGATTCTGTTTTAAATATACATATCGATATAAGTACTGTTAGTTTAACCCTTGTGTTATGTTAAGGGTCAATTTGACCCGTTTCAATTTTTGTGTTGATCAAAGTGCAGGTTATCCTTTCTTTTTTTCCATGAAATGTTGTGACTTTTTCTCCTCTAGGGTCATGAACTTCTATGTAAAATCTGGACTCTTTGATGTGTTGTTAAATGTCTGCACACAGTTTGTATACAAAGATGATGTTGCGGGTCATTTTGACCCGCACACAGAGTAGCTGTTAAAAATCCAAAAAAAAAGTCTTTGATGTACTTCATTTTGATTGCCTCTGAATAAACATTCAGAACCAGGTGTGTGTGGAAGAGGGACTTTCTCTCCCCTGTCCTTGTCACTGTTTCCATGCCCGTTCTTGGAGAAACACCAAAAATGAGCTCCAGACGATTTACAGCTGAAGAAGCTTTTTCGCAGCTTATGAACTGGGATAGTGATGTAGAGGAAGAGGTTTCAGAGACAGAGGATCCTTCAGAGCCAGAGGACAATGCCATTGATGATCCAGATTTTCAATTTTCCCATGATGAGGAGGATTCAGAGGACGAGTCTGCAGGTGTCCCTTCTTCAGATGAAAACCAAGAAATGCAACAATCGTCATCCACAGAGGGGACATGGACATCTAAAGATGGTAAAATAAAATGGTCAACATCACCACACCAAAGCCAAGGTAGATTGTCATCTTGTAATGTCATCAAAATGATTCCTGGTCCTACAAGATTTGCTGTCACAAGAGTTGATGATATTGAATCAGCATTTCAGCTCTTCATATCCCCACCCATAGAGAAGATAATCCTCAACATGACCAACTTGGAGGGGAAGCGTGTCTTTCAAGAGAAATGGAAGCCACTGGATCCGACTGACTTGCATGCTTACATTGGAATCCTGGTGTTAGCTGGCGTATACAGGTCAAAGGGTGAAGCAACTGCAAGTTTATGGAATGAAGAGAATGGAAGGCCAATCTTCCGAGCAACAATGTCTTTGGAGACATTTCACATGATCTCTCGTGTGATCCGATTTGACAACCGTGACACCAGAGCTGATCGACGTGAGAGAGACAAACTTGCAGCAATCAGAGATGTCTGGAATAAATGGGTCGAAATCCTGCCTTTATTGTATAATCCTGGCCCCCATGTTACTGTCGATGAGCGCCTCGTTCCATTCAGAGGACGCTGTCCATTCCGACAGTATATGCCAAACAAGCCTGCGAAATATGGCATCAAAATGTGGGCAGCCTGTGATGCAAAATCCAGTTATGTTTGGAACCTGCAAGTATATACTGGAAAGCCACCTGGAGGAAGACCTGAGAAGAATCAGGGAATGCGTGTGGTTTTGGAGATGACTGAAGGGCTGCAAGGTCATAACATTACATGTGACAACTTCTTTACATCCTACCATCTTGGAGATGAACTTCAGAAGAGAAAGCTGACTATGTTGGGAACAGTCAGAAAAAATAAGCCAGAACTTCCCAGTGAGATTCTGAAGATGCAAGGAAGACCTCTGCATTCCTCAAAATTTGCTTTCACAGAGAAAACAACACTTGTTTCTTACTGCCCAAAAAGAAACAAGAATGTTCTTGTGATGAGCACAATGCACAAAGACGCATCTCTGAGCACACGAGAGGACATGAAACCGCAAATGATTCTGGATTACAACTCCACAAAAGGGGGAGTTGACAATCTTGACAAAGTCACAGCAACATATAGTTGTCAGCGCAAGACTGCCCGTTGGCCTTTGGTGGTTTTCTACAACATTTTGGATGTGTCTGCTTACAATGCCTATGTGCTGTGGATTGAGATCAACCAGCAGTGGAATGCCAGCAAACTGTACCGACGTCGACTTTTCCTGGAAGAACTAGGCAAAGCACTCGTCACTCCAAAGATCCAGAACCGGGTCAGGCCAGCTAGATCCCCAGCAGCTGCTGCTGTCATCGCAAAGGTCCAGGGCAGGGCATCTGACCAACCCACAATGGATCCTTTGGATACAGGTACAAAGAAACGCAAAAGATGCCAAGTCTGTCCCTCTCGAGATGACAGTAAAACAACTACCTCTTGTGTGAGATGCAAGAAATACATCTGCAAAAAGCACATAGTCACATTCTGTCCATCATGTGGGGAACGCTGAAAATGTTGACTGTCAAAAACCCGAGAAAATGCGGCAAGTTAAATGCAAAAAAAAAAAGGGTTCGTGAAGAGGGAAAAATTGAAATCAGGAGTTCTTTAATATAGTGTTGGAAGTGTATATCTCTACTTCTCATCTCTTCTAAATATTTGTATAATCTAAAATAAAGTTCTTATTGGTTTAACTTCATTTTATGACTGTTTTGAGTGGATTTACACAATGCGGGTCAAAATGACCCGCAACATAATAAACGTATTTTTTTCTCAACATAATACAAGGGTTAACATGCCTTAAAATGAAATGAAAGTGTACATTTGATTTAATTAAAGCGTAAGGACAAGACGGTTTCAGGCCTTCATTCAAATATGCAGACTATATCTGTCATTACACAAAGTTATATTTCTCTTTTACGTTTATGCTTTTCCTATGGATAGTTTCCATAAGTATCAATTTTAAGCTGTTATATTTTTTATTTGGTGATAGATGGTAAATTCAATGCATATCTGATGGGGTGGAGATTTATTTATTTTCATACAAAAGCCTGATTATGGGCACAGAGGTTTGAGTAAGTTGTAAAAAAATAATAAAACTGGACACCATTGCAGTGATTTCACTGCTAAAATCACCCCTTCTATAAAGATCAGTGTTAATCTCATGCAGTCATTTAGAAGAGGAAACACAGTCCTGGCAACATTTCAGTCAGACTGATGCCATCCAGGGAAATTTAACTCTTGATAATAGTGTGTGATAAATGGGATTAAAAAGGACATTTTGTGAGTAGTAATCATTTCAGCATACAACACCATCTTGCATTTGTTAAATTCACTTTGTTGCTGCCAAATGAAAAACCTGTCATGTGAAATAGAGCTGAAATACTTTTAAGATTTTCCAGATTTTCATTTTTCTGCCGTCGGTGCACCCATCACTTGGTGTATAGCTGAGCTCCTTTACTTTGCTGACCTGCATAAATATAATCCACTGCTTGTCATTGACTTTTTGCAACTCTTAAAAACACGTGCGAGCTGCAGGGTGGTCTCAAAAATGTATTCTTGCATGTTACCACACAAAGGATCCTCATAATATACTTTTTTTTTCTTGGTATTTATTAAAATATTTCTTAATGAAAAGAAATGAGGCTTTATCTTTTTAAAATATCCCTGCAGTTTGTTTCTTTGTTAAATTATTAATACTTTTTGTTTTCTCAAACTGCCAAAACATTTTCCAACAAAATGTGTTATGTGTTTAACTTGGTATTCATTCAACCTTTATTTATAAAGGTTAGTCATTGATCCTCGAAGACTCATTTACAAGAGAGACCTGCTTTTAACAAAGAATGATAGCAGTAGATAATTATAAAAAAAGCAAACGAAACAAAAAGCTCTACCCTGGTCCTGATCCTAGTCTTGTTCTAGTGTTTACAGAACCAAACCCAGGCGACTACTAAAAAGAACAGTCTCACATAAAAGAAAACATCCTCAGTTTTCCTTATAGTGGAGGGGGAGTATGTGTGTGTAATTATACTAAATAATTTAGTATAATCTAAACAAAAGTAATTTAGTATAATTATACTAAATTTAGTAGTGAAGCTTACCATTAAGTAGAATTAACATTTGATTTAATAGACACCAGTTTTTATCAATTTACACTAAAAACAACCCCTCTTTGTAATGTATATTAAAATAGAAGTATGTGTAAGTAGCATCCTAAATAATATTTTAAATTTAATGTGACAGATATGGTTTATGTTTAGCTAATAATAACAGTATAATTTCAAGATAACATTTTAAAATGACAGGTCTCACTTGGTGTACTTGTAAAACGTGTCAAAAAGTCATTATATATTTTTAGACGTTCAATTGCGTTGCAACAAAGCAGTGTGTCAGGTGTATCTTCTCATTTGGTAATGTATTGAGCATTTAATGTTTAAAAATACCTTAATTTACTGTGTTTTTATAGACAAAGCATGCGTTATTTACAGCCCCTTGAAGGCCATTTGCTGTCATTTTTATCTTTGGCAGATTGATAACAGGAAAAAATGCTTCACTACAAGTGATGCTCAGGAAGTCACATTATTTTCTGTTTTTCAAAATAGATGTATTCAGTGTACTAATGGGTGGTTTGGGTTTGTTTCTGGTTTGTAAGAGTTTGTGAACAATATTTTGGAAAGATGTTTGGAGGTCCACTCAACCAGAACAAGCAGCAGATTAGGGGATGGGAACTACCACTATTAACATCAGTCCAAGATGGTTAGACTTAGAGTCTGGGAATTCTATCAACTTTAAAAGTATTTGGCGTAAAACACATAAAATAGAGTTTTATATTATCATGTTTTAAATATAAACTATTGCCCAATTCCCTTCACAAATAGACTAGTTTTATTATTTAACAACATGACATTTTGTTACAAATATAGCTTGCATAGTAAACTTCTGTAGAGCTGGAATAA